TCTGTTTCATGTCTGCCCATCAATAAATGACTTTATAATCATACCCGCAAGACTATTTGTCTTTCTAACACCTTTTCGCCGTGTTTCTGACCATTCTTTCCACGACACTTTCCTAACTTTTAACTTAAATAATGTGGGTTAACCTGAGAGGCAAGGCATTCTCTGCTCGGCATTCAGCCAGACAGCGATACTTATAACACAGCCAGCTTTACTTTTAAAGATGAGGTCAGGTATTTGGGTCTCTTGTAAAAAATCTGTTTAGTACCATCCACTGAGCTGGACCCTTAGACTTGTTTTCCAGCACTCGCGTGCGTCCGCGTAAAGCCGTAGCAAAAAGGCGAAGCCAAAAACTGGATCCCAATTTTGAAATAAAACTTCAGACAGGAAAATTTTAAACAACTTGGATTGACCAGGTGGTAGTCGTATCCAGCCGTGCGGCTTCCCCGTTGGCAATGAAGGGGTAGAACCGACACAGCTTAGCTTTCGTTCTCCAGAGAGAACCAGCTGCGAGTGACTGTCCGTTTTCACAGATGGGTGGTCCATCAATTTCTGCTTCCTAAGAAGATACTAAGAAGCTTAGTATCCTAGTTCCGCCTTCAGAGGTTATATTAGAAAAAAGATATTTCTATTTCTTCTGGGTTGGAGCTGGGCGGATGGCCGTGGTGGCGGCGGCGGGCTGTGCTGGGCTGGCTGGCTGGCCCCTTTGTTGTGGCGAGGGCTCGCTCTTGGTCCCTCCTGGCGTTGTCCGTGGCTGGGTGTGCACTCTCGGCTAGATCACTCTTGCTGGGGTTCGGTAGCTTCTTTGGGCTGCCGGTTGGCTGTGAGGCTGGGGGTCGGGTCTTGGGGGTCTGTGCGGCTCTAGGGCGGGTGGTCTGTTGGTCCCGGTTTCTGGCAGTCCTCCGGACTCTGTCTGTCCATGATCTGGCGTCTTCCAGGCCTGGCGGTCTGTTCAGAGGAGGAGGTCTTGGGGCCTCAGTCCCTGGGTGGGTCTCGGGGAGCGGGGCAGCCTACTGGGGTCAGTGGGGGAGCTGGCCCCCAGGGGAGCATTCTTGCTCCCTCAGTTTTTCCTCCCCATCCCCTACCGCAGACCTCCATCCTCTTCATTTTTCAACTGCACTCACGTAGGGTTTTTGGGANTTTTGTTCTTGCTTTTATTTTTTCTGAAATATGGAGAGTGTTCAAATTTAAGTTGTTGTTTGAGCTTATTTTGTAAAAAGATGTGTTTCTTCTCTCTGCAACTTTCCATTCAATAATGCATTTACTTTTTTAAATGGGTGTTGTAGATAGATTTTTATGAATGAAATGAAATAAATAAAAATTGTGGTGTTAGTAGGACAACTAGCATTGGAATTCTGAATGATTGTGTATTCAGTGAGAAAACAAGAGTTAGTCTACATGAAAACTGTGCCAAAATGCAGAATACTGAGTGTTGTGCTTTTGTGGAAAAAAGTGTTTGAATGTAAAACAAGATTTGCTTGCAGTTTGGCAGAATCTTTTAAAGAGGTTGGTGCTCGAGTTTCATGTTGGGGTCATTGTGGCTCGAGTACCAGAAAATCTGTGTAAACATTGAAGAAAAAACTAACTGAAGTCTAAACAACTGTGAAACCAAAGTCAAATCCTGCTGGCCAAGCTTTTACCCCATGCTGCTGTAGGGTTTGACCTTACTGAAGACAAAACAGAATTGATGAAGAATTCCCCACACTGTGAGATCATCCATTAAGCCGGAGCAGTCAACCATAGACGGTAACTTTCCCAAAGAGCAGCGAGCGCACACTTACGCTCTCCAGTAACCTAGATTGAAAAATGATGACGCTATGGGTGTGTGATCTCAGTGTGTATGTGAACACCAAGCTGTGTGTTGCCTGCGTTGGGTGAGATGGGCTCATTCATCTGTTACTACAGGGAAGGAGAATGTGGTCAGAGAGGAGAGTGATAATCCTTTTTTGTGCCACTTCAGTAGAAAGAACTTAATTTCAGAATATTAGCATCTTAGCTTCTTCATCATCAGTGGGTTTTTTTAAAGAAGAAAAAGAAAGAGAGAGAAA